GATTATTCCGATGTAGTCCAGTGTGGTGCATCTGTGGACATAAACAATTGTTCGATGGATGGACTAGCAATAATAAGCAACTCGATGAGTTTATAAAGAAGACTCAGTTACAAACAAATTCAGCAAATGACGCCTATCTTGAATGGATTCCATTCGCTTGTATTTATCAAGAGATATGTAGTGTAAACCAAAACGTGAGCGGTCTACCTACTCCTTCATACTTACGTGTTAAATTGACTCCACTTGAGATAACAGACGGGACAAATGATTTATATTATGCCGAGGTAAACTCTTTATTTATGCGTGCGTCATGTTTGTTGAATAGTTTAAATAATTGTCTTATATAATTTCCTCTAGTTATGCGATGAGCATCCAGATATTCTTACTGCAGATGTTTGGGTTACCATCGGATTCACATATAATCGGAAAGGAAAGTATTGTCTAATAAAAGAAGCAAGAGGAAATGGATTATGTCTGGCATGCATACGTCGACTCGAACCCGAGATAAATGCATTCTGCTTTAATTGTAAAGCACCAAGACCTTTTAACTGGACCACGGGCAACAAGTCATTGGATTCATTTATTACGGAATCATATAGTAATACAAAAAATGTATCTGATTCATATCTACAATGGATAGAGCATTCTACATTGCTGAATATACAAGAGATAACATCATTACGCAATGAATGTACACATACAGCAGATTGGACTGCAAATGAATTGACATGTGTGGCACTCAAAAAGATAGTAGACAAACAAAACAATCAGTTGTTTGACTTTCATCAGGTAAATTATTTCACAAACATGTAAAATGCTGATGGTATTACTAACATGTATTAGTATTAGCATGTTAAAAACATATTAATATTAATATTATTTATTAGCTAATCAAGGAATACCCTAAAATATTAACACCTGACAATATTTGGATAATTGGGATCACTCGGGATTCATCTACTCAGGAATATTATTTAGTTTTCTACAATGATGTACACTCATTATTGGACAGTTTTATACGAAATCATGCACTTGTAATGTCCATGCAATATAATGATTTTTATAAACTTAAAGAGATTGGATCTGATGGTTATAGCACCGTCTATACTGCCAATTATAGAGGAGAAGGGAATATACTACAAACTGTTCTACTAAAACGGTTTAAGAGTTTTGATGAAATGCCAGAATTATTTATTTCTGAGGTATGCAATAATTAGTAGTACAAGTATTTATTATTATGATGTAGTTTTTAATTTGACTCTGCATTCTAATTTAAATTCATTTTTATTTAACAGTTCAGAAATCATACCAAGTGCACAGACAGTGATTATAAATTCCTTAAAATTTATGGAGTTACACAAAACCCAGAAACAAGAGAATACATGATTGTTATGCAACATGCTAACAATGGTAGTCTTTTGTCTTATTTAGATCAAAATATTGACAGATTGACATGGAAGATGAAATTGCAATGTTTGCAGGATATTGCACGAAACCTGTGCACAATTCATTATGTGGGATTAGTACATTGTGACCTTAATGGTGGGAATGTAGTTCTGCATGATGATCATCCATTCATATGCAATTTTATTCTCTCACAATCAGTGAGTTCACATGAGTCAAATCCAAACATTCAAGGCTGTATACCTTTTATTGCACCAGAAGTCTATTATACTCGCAAATTTACTCAGAAATCAGATGTGTATTCATTTGGTATTATTATGTATTTGATGGCCACTGGTGAACCACCATTCAGAGATAGGCAGTTTGATAGAGATCTAATACGTGATATTATGGGTGGGCTACGACCATTGATGCCTGATTCTGCACCAGAGGAATACAAGAAACTTGCCAAGTTGTGTTGTGATGCTGACCCTGATAAACGCCCAAAGAATGCAAGTTCACTTTGGGGGAATCTTGTAAAGCTTATTGGAAACGCGGATTACACATGGAGTGCAATCTATCATAATGGTGCAAAACAGTTTATCACATCTCAAGAAGAAGAAAGAGTAAATATTCTAGGAAGCTCTTATATACAGAATGAAGGCAATTGTTATGCATTATAACAATAATCTAGACTCAGGACTTTGAATACTGCTTGTAGTTTTTTATTTTACAGTCTTTTGTGTTATTTAGTTTTGCTTTCATATTTTGTGACTTATTTGATTAATCAGTTGTACACCATCTTGTTGTATCCAAATAAGGCTGCCAACATCCAATTTATGACTAAGTTTTTGTTTGTTTTTACTTGTCTGAATTTGGGCAATTAATTATGATATTAATTTGGTGCAAAAATTACAAGTTGAATATCCAAAGTTGTAGAAAGAGAAAACACAAATTTTTTTATCAAAAATAAAGTTACCCACATAATTTATAATTTAGTTAACATTTTACTATTACTGTGATGAATAATTGGTTGGATGTTGTTGTGTTGTTGATATAAAGTTAAATTCAAAATAGTGATCATTTGAATTGTAACCAAGCATTTCATTATATCAAGACCAAGCTGTATTACCATTATATTGCTATCTAAGTGATTATGATATTAAAATTTGGTATGTCATGAATAAATTTTTTATTTGTTTTAAATATAGAGGCAAATAATAATATTTTTCTGATCAAGCTGGAATTTCATGTGTGCAGGAAATCTTCCACTACTACTACTTGTTTCAGTCACAAATTAAGAGCTGTTGGATACTTGCGTTTGAGTGCCACATTATTATTATATAATTACTATGGTAAAATGCTGTAGTTTGTGTTTAAACTATAATATGTAATAAATTTTACATCAACTGAGAGTTAAAAGAGTCAGCTTACTACCATTTGTGTTAAATCTCACTTACACAATTGTATTATACATTTTAATTAAACTATAATGCAATAAAAACAGCTAACGCAATGTACACTTAATTTTGAAAAAAAAAAGCCACTCAGAGGACACAATATTTGCAGAGGAAACTTTTAGTTAATAACATTATTTACTATTACATTATGTAAATGTTAACACAGTCGATCTTTGATTTAATATACTGTATCTATTCAGTTAAACAACGAGCCGATGTGAGTGCTCAATAATTGTGAGATATGATAATATGGTGGCTAGCCATAAGTTTATTGGCCATTTTTTTTTTCAATAATGTTTTGGAAATCGGTGATTTGCGTTGTTGATATGGTTGCAAAATATTAAATAAGGAACCAAGTTTCTGTTTCATTAATGATTATTTGGCTCTGACATTTTATTATCTAAATATAATCGAGTCGAACTAAAGCATATTGTATATACCCGTACCCATAGTCCAAATTGATAATCTCTTTGTCTTCTTCCGCTTCCACGCAAACATGAATATATCTTGTTAATGAACCGAGTGCAATATTGCATAACAAATATCACATTGCTAACACTGGTAGTTCACGCAATCGCATATCTCGTTAATAAGTCTCAAAATTCTAATTTCATTACTTAATGACAGTTGCCTACAAACGATTAAATAATTTTGTTTGCGTTGGCAATATTAATACATTATATAATTATCCGGCACATATACAGACAGGCACCCTTTAATATTAAAAGTATCTTACCAATATACTCGATTTTATTTTATTCAAAAGTAAATTTACTTAGATAAGGTAAGGCTGGTATCGTCCGAAGAGGCAATTTATATCAAATTAATTAGTGATTATCAGAATCAGGCACGATAATTTATTGTTATATAAATGCACATTTGGTGAACGAGTGACGATATGAAGTATTGGTGTTTTAACGATTAGTGTTTTAACGATTAGTATTCATGGTTGTGCATGTCATTGTACAAGTAAGACTCCAAAGTCGTTCAACCGACAATGCTTGTCCCTCTGTTCTGTTAACTGAAGATGGAGACCATTTAAAAAAAAAGTGCTACACTTGCTCAAGATTTTATTACAGTATGATAGAATGAATACTAGGGACAATGAACGAAATAAACGCACAACGCTCGCTCAGATGACCGAATATAACAATGTAAATATTGTTTTGGCATTGACTTTACAATGTATTGACAAATTTGAAGGCTGTAGTAGTCGGTTCTACAAAATATCAATTAACACCTTTCCTTTTTCAAACAATGTCCTAATCCTTTGTATGGACCTCGTTGCTCATATTGTTTACGTTGTTACCTATATAGACTTATTGAAACCTGTTCGGTATCATTTTACAAGGGTTATTTTGAAAGATAAACAACGACGATCACATTCTGCATATAATCAGGAATGTGCAACGTCATGTTACATCTTTCGAAATAGAATATTTCATACAAAAGTTTTTTCCAAATGTATATTAAATCAGGGGACTATGAATCTATTGTTAGAAATCCCGTGACGCCATACTGACAAAAAATTTTTTTGAGTGTTTAGCAATCGTTGATAACAATCAGCAACGTTTACGTTTAATTCACTTGTGCTGTCTCTAATTACAATACATTAATGAGCGTTTCCGAAATTATGAGATTAGATGCAAGCAGCGCCTAATGTCGTTCAAAGATGTAGACCTCAAAATTGACTTGCCAAAATAACACTCACCAAATTATGATCGATACAGCAGTCTAACCGAAATTGTATAATATATTTAATGGGGGATCCAAGGCGTAATAAAGTTGCATTCACACACATTGACAAGAACAGTGTGTGTATTTTCTAAAGTGCTTCTCTTGCTCGTGCTTTTCCAATCATGCTACATGTGGTTTGGGTTTCGCTCAAGGCTTTATTTTCCACTTTTTAAAGAGAGAGTTGATGGATAGTGAATAAAAAACTTCTTCTTCACGTGGTACATCAATTTAATCGGTCGGCATATTTGTTTGCGATCGACAAATAAACTGCTACGTAATAGGATAAGCGCATAGTTATATTACACAGCTGATGTTCATTCCTGTAAATACTAGTAATATTTCATAAATGCGTTCATAATGGAAACGTTCTTTAATTCCTCAAACCCCTTTGTCTCCTTTTCTCCTCTCTGTTAAAATAAAATGAGCAAATTCAAAAATGGCCTTGCTGTTGACCGCGACATAGACGACCCAATGCGTCGTCCACGTCCAGTCTCTCAGGAAGGTTACTATTACCCTCCTGAACACGTCGACTCGCAAAATGGTCGATACCAGCTACATGCTATGCGTCAATATGGTTCTTCTGCGTCGCTAGAAGTACGAAAAGAATATAACAAAGAACAACGAGAACGCGATTTCTTCCCATCTCAATCACCCCCACAACAATATAATGGATCGAGCAGCGCTTTTGGGCATGAGAGTGTTCTCAGTGCACGCGCACCCTCTGTATTTTCGGATTACGATGTGTCCGACTATTATTACTCCACGAGGAATTCGAGTTTACAGACTGAGACAATGGCAAATTCCGAGACACCATATGGCGACACACTCTTCCCACCAGAGAATGGAAGTTCGTCGCCGTCGTCGTTATTGGTCCCACAGCAAACAAATGGCCAACGGCAAATGCCAAATCCTGCAAGTCAATACCAATACGAATCACAATACTATAGCCCTTCGTCGCCTAATTCTAACCTCAATTATCCCTTACACTCTCAAACAGCCTCTTCTCTGTCCTCGAATACGACAGACAACATGGGTCCTATACCTGCAAGGAACAGTTCTAGACAGGTTCGTGATGCAGGAAACAAAAAAAAATCGCCAATTCGTAATCAGGAATCGTTGACAGATCCATTCGTGAGTAAGCAAATACAAGGGCTATTGTTAGAGCGGCAACAACAACAACAGCAACAACAACAACAGCAACAACAACAACAACAACAGCACCATCAACATCATCAACAGCAACATCAACATCAATATGAATATCAATATCAACAACAACAACAACAACAGCAACAACATCAACATCAGTATCAACAACAGCAGCAACATCAATATCAACAACAACAACAGCAACATCAATATCAACAACAGCTGCCGCAGAGCCAACAACAGCAGCAACAACAACAACAAAGCCAACATTATTATTATTATCCACAGAAAGAACCAACTGCAACACAACAATATCAACCATCCGAAACACAAGATCAAAATCAGCAACAGCCTAATTTAATGCGTCCCAAGAAATTTGAATCACCGAGATCCGCCCCTTTACCTCCC